TGCTAAGAAAAGTCAGATTAGTCTAATGTATGATACAAAATTTTTATGTTAATTTATCATGAGAAAACTACTAGATAACCATTCCTCTAGTATGTGACAAGCTTTATGAAATCTATCATTTTCTGCAATAAACAATTAGGTAAAAAAGCACTTTATATTTAGGTTTACTATAGTACTTTATCATATAAAATGTTATTTTCATAGTTCATATAATGTCTTGTGACCATAAAAAGATTTTTATAAACTCACCAACTGCCCAGAGCACAGTGTCGTAGGTGTCTTTATGTTCACTACTTGTCCCTGTGTCCATCCACGTCACTTGTAAGACTCCAGATGGGAGTTTGTCTATTCTTCTGGGGACACACTTCCATGCAAACTTAGTCCCATAGGCCTCCATGTAGTCAGTCACGAGACCTGACATTTGCTACATGAAACAAATATACTGATAATTACTATTAATTCAAAAGTTCATTACAGACAGAACATTGTCCCTCATCTATACCTGATCAAAGCCCCGAAGAGCAATGCTGCGGACCATTATAGTGGTGTCCAAGCCAATACCTGTGAGGAACCCTGCACACTCCAAACCCACATCTGACAAATACAATGTTAAGAAAGATATTAACAGTATCTGCTATAAAATACATGTATAATGACAAATTGTGACAAATTCTTCAAAGAAAAACAAATGAAGGATACAGCTCGCTCCAACCACAAGTCTGAAAAAATGAAAAGAACACATTTTATCAGACAAAATACAGTAAGACTGTATCAAAATTCAATGCAGATAGTCATACTCAAAAGATATCAAAACATATGTAATGCTGACTTTGTGATCAGTTGCAAGTGATGATGAACTAAACTTCAAGACAACAGTGTAAAAAAGCGGTAAAAAACTTGGGTTCATTTTGAGTTCTCAGTGCATATATGTGTGTGGTCCAAGTAAATCACATTTCAAATCCAGTCCTTGGACTTGTGTAGATGTGGAGAGCTAATTGCTAGCATTTAGGCTAATCCCTAAAGATGGGGTGTGTCGTGTTCAGGCTCCAGTCCACACATCAGGCTGCTGAGTGAGAACTGCCACGCACAGGTGAGGCCCCCTTTCCCTTGTTTTAGCGCCCTCCTCCACTGTCTGCACATCCTCCTATTGCCCATACTAACAGTAACCACTAAAAGCCCCTGTACCCACATCACCAGTGTGTGGGGCACTCAGACACTCAGCACGTATTGTAGAGTGTTTTAAAAGAGATTAGGCAAAGAGCTGCTACGACAGTCTAGACTCACAACCAACAAATGTCTCCTTTCATTAACTCTTATGATTTGAGATGGTGTTGATAGAATTTTAAACCAATATTCAATAAGGCAAAGTAATGTAACATATTGCTATCAACTGATCTTATACAAATGTGTAAAAAAAAAAATCCAGTGCTGTTATGCTTTGATTTTCTTCAAATGAAATGCTGTAACATAAACCAATTTCCTGTCCTCAAGTCTGAGTGGAACACTGTAGACAGACTGTCACGTTACATTAGCAGAAATATTACTGAGCCAAAAAAGCTACAAGTACTTTGACCATTATTCCGATACCGTAACTAAAAGTAATTTTGCTTGCAGTGACACATTTCAGAAGTATCCTCAAAACAAAGAGAAACACACAGCGGGTTTGGCCTGGCAGAAGGGTAGTATGTATTATGAACTCTGGCCAAAGTTTTGCTGTACAAAAGCTGCTATCCAATATCAGCCGCTGCTGTTGACCTTGGCCGGCTGCAAACAGGACCTGCCACTGATAGGGACCCTTGCGTGACTGTTCGCAGTGTGGGTGGTATGAACAGAAATATGAAATGTTACAGAAAACATTGGTTGGGATTTTAAAATACTATTTTTGTTTCAGTCAGCATCAAAGGAGTGCAGACACATATGTAGTGCATATAGGATGAAAATGAGCAGTTCTGCAAAGCCGTCACTTTGTTGTGTGCACGCTCCAGGGTCCATTAGATGTCTGTCACTCACCTGTCCCATCAAACTACCTGTCGACATCACCTGCACCCTAACAACAAACCCATCTGCAAGGAATATCTTTACAGAGGGAGCTAAGGCTAGTGCTAACCTACAGCAGACAACAACATCAGCCTGCAGGCAGAGGGGACATAAGAGACTGTCCTGCTTCAAAGGACTTCCTAAAGTCAAGTGCTCTCCTGAAGTGGATAATTCTGCTTCCTATACAAGAGTGTGCTGTTGAGTCAGTGAGAGGTACAGTGGTAATTGTCAAGGACTGGAACAGTGAGTGCACAACTGTAAATACTACAGAACCTACAGGTGCAGCAAATGACTTTCTACTGCCACCAAGTGTTCACAAGAGGAACAAAATCTTGAAGAAGGGTTGGGCTGAAAGTTCAATAATATAATTCATTCAAGTTTCAAGTCATTATTGTGTGCAGTGTAGCTTGGAGCCAATGTGTAACCAAAATTACAGTTTAAAAATTCATATGGTCAGACAGTAATAATTTCCTCTATTGCTCTATATCTATAAATTCCCACACCAACATGTATGGCAAAGACAAATTAGGTTTCAAAGAAAACTCTAACTTTACAATAACTATTTCCGCAGTTCTGTCATCATTTAGCAAACAAGCACATCAGGTCAGGTACACCACCATCACTAGTCACCGTCTGCTGCCAGTGCCAAGAGGAAATGTCAGGGAAGGACCAATTAACCAGGTGATGACAAGAGCTAAATGGCTGGATTAAAGGCCTTGCTCTGCAAAGGTGAGGATGCACGCCGCTAATCTGAATCACGAGGCGCGGACAGGCTGACAGGAAGAGAGTTAAACAAACTACATGTCCCTGATGAAAGATTACAGTGCGTGACAGAGGGATGTGACATACAAGCTACAGATTGCACTAAGACTGTAGATGCAAACATTCACATCACAGCTAAAAACACCTACCACTGTCTGCTTCTTTGACCAAAATGTCTGAAAGGTAATTATAGGGGGATATAGATGTGCTTACGTTTTGCCTGGTGACTTGTTCAACCAAAATATGTCATCACTGGTGATGCCATGTTCTATTGCCCCAGGAATCTGTGTGACAATTAATAAAACAGCAAAAAATATTTGAAACCTTTGCTACAATATGCACATTACAAATCTACTTGTTCTTGAGTTTGGAACAATACTTACATTAGTGGGGTACTTAGGACGACCTCCTGTGGCAATTACAATGTTTTTAGCTGTCAGCATTGTCTATGAAACCAAGGGAAATATAGAAAATTATATGAAGAGCTGAAATTATAGACATGTTAAAAGCAAAAAAGACTATATAAGATTAGTATTAACTTAAACAATAAAGAAAATTAAATATATTGAATTGTTTGGTGAAATCTGCTTACCTCTTTGCCTGCTTTAGTAATTCCTTTAACTGTATGGTCATCCAAAAGGCTTCCTTTCATGTTCAGATATTTCACTTTCCTATAAAATATTTAAATTGCTATTTTTTATCACCCAAGAAATGAATGCTGAAGACAATTCAACGCAACAGCATTTTTAATTGATTCAATTGTTGTAAAACAGCAGAATGATTATACTTACTTTTCATTAAGCTGCACTCGGTGACCCCAGTTTAGAGACTTAACATAGTTTTGCACAGCCCCAGCCATTGTATTCCTGAAAACAGAATGACAACAGAAAAGAAGTTCCACATGAAATATCAAACTTTTACCATGCAACCATACAAAAATAACACCACTAGATGGTGCTGTTGAGACATAATTATACCCGCTCTCTCTGGACGTTAAGAATACTTCAAAGATAAATTAAAAAATGTACCAGTCATGGGAGAGTGCTTCTGGGATTTGCCAGCCAAATTTTTTGGCATCTTTGACAGCAGTGCCAAGCAGAGCCGCTTGGTGCATGAGTTTCTTGGGGATGCAGCCCACATTGACACATGTACCACCAAGACCCCATTTAGTACCTGTGTAGAAAGTGTTCAACACTGTTAAAAATGTGTATGCTGGCTAGACTATAACTGTACTATAGGAAATATAGGCATTATTTTTACCAGTAGGTGAAGGCTCCACATAATCCAGCACTGCCACTTTCAGCCCCAACTGAGCCGCTACAATGAATATGATTTGGTCAGAAACTGTAAAATAGTTTTAAAAAGACACCCATGTTTCATGCTGTTGCCTGACCTTCTTTGGAACAGGCGAGTCCTCCAGATCCTCCACCAATAACTACGAGGTCATAGTCATATTTACCTATAGAAACAATCAAACTTCAATACAGGCGTTTGTCATTGACAATTAAAATAACAAACCTATAGACACACTGATATATCTTCCATTTTAGAAGAATTTGCTTTAAAATTACCTATACTGGTTTCTGCAGGTGTATACAATAGATAAAACACTAGTTACATCACTCAGTTCAATTTCAATGTCGCTAAACCGAAGCTGATTTTCACAGTAAAAAATAATAACCAAGTAGCTATAACTGATATAATTCCTTCTGAGACATTCTTCATTTCTTACCGGTAAAGGTTCTTGATAAAACCTTAAAATAAGTGATTGTTTTCCACCGGTGCCTGCCTCTACTCAAGGCAGCCATATTGTTATGGTGAAAGGACCCAAGACGGACAGATGTGCCGCCCCAGTAAACGCCTGAATACAAATAAAACATTTAACATTTAGTTTTATTTGATTGGATTTGATTTGATTTTTTCGGGTACAGGCTACATCCGAATGCAAAAAGCCTGAATATTTGAAATATATGTATGGGCAATTTCATTACTGAACAGCATTAAACACTAAATAAACTGAGTTAAAAATAATCATCCTGCCTCCAAAACAATTTGCCAAATGCAATGAATCAAGTATCAAGTATCAAAATCGCATTAGTCTATCTATAAAATAAAATAAGCTTGAAATAAATTGCACAGACACTCAAGATTTTCTTTCCAGGCATGATTTATTGAAAACACACCAAATTTATACTCTACAAACCAGTATTTTTCCATTATGTTTAACAAGCGTAATATTTGCCTCTGGGTATTAGTAAAATTAACATAATACATTCTGTCACTGTGACATGGCCTCAACTCTCTACCGAACAATTTTTACTCTTCTAGGAAATCAAAACCAGTTTTTGAATGACTATCTTTTAAAATCTTTATCATACAATGTTATACAAGGCAGAAATTAGCCACCAACAGTCTAAACTACTTGGAGGGATGGGATAGGTGCGCCATTGGGATAACATGGGGATTATTTTAAAGGAATTTCTTGATCTGACAGATGATCAGAAGAGGATACATATTAGGGTAAGAGCATTGACAGCTGAAAGGGAGGAATAACATTATATAAAACACATTTATTTTGATCTACCATGGAAAAGGTTAAGGCACGTGATAGGTACAAACACATCTGCTACTGAGTTGTACAGTAATTTTGACAATGTTGATTCAGAAATATCTACACAGGTAGGTTGGTTTGATTCACTGTGTGTCCTTCATGTTTTCTCAGATTTTGTCGATGTACCATGTAGAGTGAATCCTTTGGTTGTGTCGTTGCTAACTGCATTTAGCAACTGTAATGATTTAACAAAATTCTTACCAAGGGACAGCACAGACTTTTGAGGACACATAAGAGAGGGGATACTTGGATTATAAATAGTATTCTTTTAAAACTCTGAAATTAAAACTGTATACATTTTTTGTTTACTGACTTTTACCACGACGCACATCTTTGTAAACACTGTAAAATATGCAAGCTCCACAAAGTCACAAATAAAATGAAAATTCAGACTTTGATGCAGGCACATGCCGTTTGCCTATAAAAATGTTGCATGAGTGATTGAAACCGATTTGCCCTTATCTCATAGTTTGCAATTTTATAAAATTAAGAGATCCAAAATGGCTGCCTTCTTTAATTCCCAATACTATCCTCCTTTAGCTCTTTGTAAAAATATATATACTATGGCGGTTTCCTCTGTACAGTGTCTTTAAATTGGCCTCATATACCATCTGACTCCTTTTAGCACACTAATGAGTTAATATCCAAATGACACCACGAAAACTGGCACTTGGAAAGAATATAATATAAACATTTGTACAATTGTTTTTTTGTCATGCTCACAACAGAAACAACCCCTCTTAAAGATGCACTGGTGAAGAATTCAAAATGATGGAGCAATAAGCTATGAAAACATTTAACAACAATGCCATTTTGTCCATCCAACTTCCAATCTTCTCATGTCCTCTTTGCTGTCATGGTTGAAGAAGCATAAAATTACAACACACTGGCTTATGAAAAACACATATAAACTTTTTCTTTTTTGACAATACAAAATATAAATAGTTGACACACATTTCTGGTTATTTGCTTGATGAGACTGTATCAAATGAGATGTGCTTTCCAAACAATGTATTATTAATATACAACTAAGTGTTTTGAATTTTTTTGTACTTAAATTTTGTATATTTGTTCTCAATATACATCTCTATAAAACCATCAAATAAGAAAAAACAACATATTTTTTTAAGAACAATCCATTTCCAGGGGAGATCAATGCCGAACCACTCTTGTCATAATCATAATCAAATGCCTTATATCGTCTTACAATACAATTCATACATACAAACCATGTTAAAACTTGCAGTTTCTCAGTAAGGAAATGAACTTGCTGCTTGCTTGGCTTATAGTCCAACTAAGCAGTTTATCTTCATTTAGAATTTTTAGATTTCATTTGTAAATTTTTGACCAAATTAAAATAACTTTTTGTCCCTTCCTTCTCTGCAACCTAGTCTACACTGATACATGTCTCTTTGACATTTAAGCAGCTTTTTCAAAACACAGTGAACCAAACAGATTTTAAATTATTGATACTAAAATTGTGGAAATGCACGTCTCCACTTTGCTATGGCTCGGTTTTACCATCTTTATCTCTTATTCAAATGTCCATCTAAAACCTCCAAACATTCATTGGCTTTCCCACATGCTCAAATTCTTGGCTTCAAAACAAATACAAAAGCTCAAGATCTGGAACAACTTTCTATTTTCATTTCATTCTTCTTACCAACATAATATTTTCTTTCTTATCCATCTCTTTGCACCTTCAAAGTTTATCGCATTTCAGAACCGGCCTCAGTCCATTTGTTTGTAATGGTAGCTCTCCATAAGAGTCAACACTGTAAAAAAAAAAAAAATCACATGATGTCCAGTCCAGTGGGAATGTAGATATGAGAAAAGTAGTTGAAATTGTGGTCCTTTTTTCGTATTTTTTATTTTCCTCAAAAGCAGGAAAATGCTGGCTGCTGCTGGGTAGTCGCAGTTGTGATTTTTATTTATTTTTTGTTATTTATTTCTTTATTTCTTTTTCTGTACAAAGTCTAACTCCATGTGGCTTCTTGTGAAATGGCAGTGGTGATATGAGATCTTCCTCCAGACCGAACTCACGCTTGGTTTTATGTTAAGCCTGGAGCAAAAGAAAAGAAAACCATATTAGAAAAGTTCAGTTTAAATTTGACAAAGTTGTAGTCCAAATCTCTCTCTCTTAAAACAATTATACATGGTTAAGATATACCAAAAGGGATAGTATTTTGTTGTCAATTATAGTAACAGTATCTTTGTACACTGCCAGCTCAGTCCTTGTTACCTTGGCCCACGTCCTCTGATATAATGACATATAATACTCCCTACATCAGAAGCATACTACATACTTCTGTACTACTACTTCAACCTCATGCCTCTTCTTTTTCTTGGGCTACTGCAAATTATTCATAATAAAAGCCAAACATGTCATGTTCTTTCAATATCACTCCAAAAATAAATACATATTTTTAAAGATTTTAAAACTCTATATGAAGTTTTAGTTTGCACCCACTATTGGGAACTATCTTGTATGATTCATCTTGGTTCTGCACACCTGTGAATCAATTTGATAATGCTTACAAGTGCAAAAATTGTCTCTATGATTGGATGCAGAATACAAATTTAGATTTGGACTACAAACTGACAAGTCAATCAAATGAATAAACAAATTCAAAACAAGGCATCGGTCATTACACATGGAAATGAGAGACAGCCAGACAGATGCACTAAGCAATGTCACATATCCTTACCTGTTGTCTCGTTTCAGTAATTACCCGCTATAAATGATACTTCTAACTATACCTCAGGGAACTCTGCAGAGGTAATGCACTTCTACAATGGCATGAATGAAGATGAAGCTCTAAATCACGACAAAGATAAAGAGGCGATGATGACAAGGGTGAGAGAGGCACAAGGAGTTATGGCGACAGCTGAAGCACACCCAGAAGAGTCTGTGGGAATGCCATAGTTAGGGCTATTAGTGATACATCCCATAAGGAAAATGTTTGAATGCTTTCATGCACCAAAAGAAGGGTTGTTCAAAAGGTGTGTTAATGGGATAATAGTCTATAGTCTTATATACTATAACCAACTCAACTATTACCACTACTGATAGTATATTATATAGTATCTACTATTTAGATACCCATTTTGTGTATTCATATAGAACTATTACTATTTTTTTAAACTATTATGATCTACAGTGTGGTGTTAAATTTAAAGGTTTACCAAGTAACTTTTTCAGGTGAAGGATCCACCATATGCTTACATATTACACCTTTAAGTCTGTTTTATACTTTTTATAATATTCATTAGTTATGTTTTTTTTTTTTTTTTTTTTTTTTGTAGATTTCTATTCCTGCTCTTAAATTGTGCTCTACACTGTAAAACTGGAATTTCCACATTGTTGGACAAATAACGATTCTCTCTCTTATCTAAATAAAACCTTGGCACCAATGCCAAACATTGTAAAACCTAGAATAATAAACTCAAGGCAACATTTTAAAACAATATTATACAATCACTGTATATTTGCATGGGTTTACATTCAGCTCTTGATGTATATTGCCAACTTATGAGAGGACATACATTATTTATCATCTCGTTCTGACCCAGGGAAAGTAACGTGAGCTGGAATAGATGTTATATGTGACTCTGCATGCATATATTTGTCTTTGCTGCTACTGCTTTTCACTGGGAAATAACTCAGTCCCTGGAGGATCCTCTTTGGAGTGCACTAGAACGATTCCCCTTCATCATTTACCACCAATTTCTGCAAAGTCTGTCAAGGGGAGGCAGTGACTGGGGCTTGGCATACATTTCAATCAGGCGGAGCTGCGGCATCGTGAGTTGAAAACAAATGTCATTGTTGATTTCAGTGTGATAGGTCTACATAGGAAATATATCTGCATAGCTTTTATAGTACTTTTGACAACTTGGTGGCATTTGACTTTAAAATACAGCACCAATGTAGCTGCAATCTTGAAGCTCTATCAATTTTAGAAGTGCAGATTAGAAACTGTAGTCATGGAAACAGTTTTTTTTTTTTTTTTACACTTACAGATGAAGTTTTTGAAGACTTTCTTATTCTCCAATGGACATTATGAGCCCTATAAGAAGTCTATATTACATCAGATTTAATGAACGTAGGGCTGGCCGATTTGGCAAAAAATAAATACATAAAATAAATCTATTCAAATTATTTACAAGCAATTTCCTGAAAAAACACAGACTTTCAATTGTTGCTTTTTAATACAATTGACAATTTCACATGATTGAAGTTCATTTTTTAAAATCTGTCACATTAATTATAATGTCTACCTAAACCAAATATGCATGTGTGTAATTGTGAACTGGTAAATGTGGATATGTAAATAAAAAAATGCAATTTAAACTCTTTAAAGGTGCATTGTGTAACTTTTTGGTTGTGGGTCCATCGCCTGCTTGTTTTCTTAGGATATATCACTGCTCTGCCTGGAATGTTCCACAATATGACATTAAACAGCTCTACTTTACATTTATTCAGTTAAAGGTGAATTTATAGCTCAAAAATACCTAGAAAAACTGATGTTTTAACTGTGAATGGGATTGCTTCTCCACAGTTCTGACCTGTAACTTAGTCTGGTTTGGTCTCCATGAAGAAGAAAGGTTCAATACATACTGTGAAGCATTCTAGTCAAAGTAGTAAGATCTTCATGGAGAAAAGCATTTCACTGATCCTCTGTCTGAAAAGTTACACAATACACCTTTAAAATAACCTTGGTAGCTTTTGGTAAGGATACATTTTTGGGGAGACAGACACTGACTGATCTGGGTGAAGTGACACAAGCAGACAGGGTGACCAAACAAACAACAAACTAAAGTGATGTTAAACTGAATCGATTTGGGTGCCATTTTCTTGACCTACCGGGCATGCACTTAGACCCAGGAGTCTACAGGCTGTGGCTTAACGTCGCAAGCGTCCACCAGACTGACTGCGGGCCTGTTACTCCTGATATAGTGCTTCCTATTTGTGTCATTCTGAGGCAAGCGTTATCAACAGAGTCCACAAAAAACAGCAAAACAAAAGGGGAGAAAAGTCATTACATTTGACATTCTTTTCAGACATGCACCTAGGATCAAAGAAGAAGAAGTGTTTGGGAAAACTTGGAGTCACGCCATAGTGATTATAGAGACATGCAAAAGAAAGACGGTGAGAGAGAGAGAGAGAGAGAGAGAGAGGGGGGGAGGGAGAGAAAGATAGAGCAGATTTAAGCAGATTTAAACCAAGTGGCATTCAAAGCACACTGAACACCTCCGGCAAGTACAGATGGCAGAGTTGGTAACGCTAGGAGGCCTGTGCTCTCCAAAGACCACAGCAAACTGTTCACTCTGATTGTTCCTGGCAGGCTTTACTGGCTGGAGAAAACTTTCTGCTTCAAATAAATATATCTACAGCTTCAAAGTGTCACAGTATCTCTGATTGTGTTTTGCCATTTGGAGAACTGCGGAATTAAGCCCTTTGCTTCTGACCAAAGTGAAAAGAAGTGATCAGGGGATTGAGAATCTCCAGAAGAAGCCATGTGATAATGTTGTTACCTCCGCAAAAACATACATCGAGTTGTGCTTTGCGTCATTGTGTCATGTCACATTTTGAGTAACTAATTATTAATAATAAAATAATTATATTAGTCTGTCTACATCTCCAAAGCTCAAAATGCTCAGTTCCACCTTATGATGTCATGTAGTGGTAATTTTTAAGTTAAAAGCTACCTATTACATTTTGTTTAGTAGAGACTGGCAATTCCAGAGCTGAAATGATCCAAATGATTCTAGTGAAGGTGCATGAAGTTTAAAAACACAGTGGAGCTCTTTCTGTATTACTACATGACATCACAAGGTGGAACAGAGTGTTTATGTTTGAGAGAAGAACTAAGACTAAATAAGCAGAGTTTGTGTCCTAAAGCTGTGTGAATGAAACAAAACACAACTCCAGGTATGTTTTTGATGAGAACATTATAACAGACCAGAAACTAGCGTAATATTGGCCCTTTAAAAATAGTTTTGTAATTAGAAGTATGTTTATCCAATTTCAATAAATTCAAAAGTAGTAGCACTATCTTTGAGTCATGTGGAATCTTGTTAAATTAGCCATTGCTTCACTTTAACTACTATTCTAAATATCTGAAACACTTGGAACCTTGCAGCATGCAGCAAAGTGTTTTATTGCCATTTTTACGCTTTCTTACGGTTTAACAAATCATAAGCCAAGGATCAAACATAGATCTTAGGCTGCAGTTATCTCCCATACATACTTCTGACCTTGCCGGAGATTTTTGCTGTGAAAATGTCATTCAAAACAGCTCACATCCTCAGCTATATTGATCTTGACCTAATAAACCAGCCAAAGAGCCCTTAATAGTTAAATAACTCAAGGCGGTGTCCTCGGAGGCCATTATCCTGTGACTTCTCTTTGAGGCTGGATTACGAGCGAGACAACAAACAAACAAACTCTGGCCCGGGTCTGAAGCAGCTGTGTAATCAACCCGACCGGCACTTGATAAGGCACTCCAATGTTCAATGCCATGCCAAGGGTCGTCATCATAAGGGGCTTTTGGTTGGCGGTCCTTTTAATCACTCCCAGTTTAATTACTTTGTAGACGCCAATAGCAAACGTCCCATTACCCAGTCTCTCAGATCTGGAGCTGTCCAAAGTGCTGAACACATTAGCCCTGAATGACAACTTCCAGCCTCTGTAGAGTGTGGAAAGGATTAAGGGCCTTTAATGAGGAGGCCACCATAATGAGTCAATATGAGGGCACTGGAGGGCTGCACTATATATTTAGATCGGTTATAATCATTGATACCTCTAATAAGGTTAGGATTTTTAACTTGAAATGATAAAAAATGTCTTTCGCTCATGGATATACTGGCTTAAAAGTTTCAAAGAATATTCTGTAAGGCAATAACTCTACCTATGGTTTACAATGACAGTACTATCACAACAACATCAGTCAGGATACATAACATCATGGAACTTTTTCAGGTTAATTTCAACTGGTTTTGGGCAAGCAAAAATGAAAACCAAAAACACATATATAATTTGCGCATTGGGAAGAAATATTGATAATTGTAAATAACAACAGTAAAATTAATATCCCACCCATTTTGTACAGTTATGTTATCACACAAGGAGAGAAGTTGAAAGTTACAAAGAAAGAGGACCATAGTTCTTATTTGAGACATCATTATCTTGGCTCTGTAACAAGAGAGAACTAGCTGTACCTTCAGAGGCTCCCGTTCTGTCATGTCCGCCGATCCATCGTTCCTATATTTGCACTCTTTGTCTCTGTGGTCAATGGTGGTGTAGCCATCTAATGAGGACAGAGAAGAGAGCTCTAGTTAGTATATGTAAAAATGACCCGCTGTGGTGGATTGGACATGGGTGAAGTAATAACAAAGCATCGTCATCTCAGGGCTTTGTGCCTAATAAAAACATTTTTAGAGAACATTTTTTTCATTTCTGCATCATCTAAACAGACTGAAAATGAGGTTGTACAAGCACAGTATGTGACCTTGTCCTCATTAAGCATCTTAAAAAGCACTCCAGCCCAAATGCGGCTGTGTGAACAAGATGCATTAAAGTGCATTATGAATTTATTCAGTGAGAACACATCTGAAAGTGAGATGAATAGCTAAATATTTTAACAATTGTGTGTTTCTGAGTACACTAAAACTGAAGTCTTTTACTGTGGAGTTAATATTCCAGTAAGCTTACTTTCTTACCTTATCATAAAATACTTATTTTTTAGTGCTTGAGAGCTGTTTACAGGCTATATAAGCAAAACCAATGTCCTGTTCTATAATGGTTAGGATAGCATTTGCTCATATCCTTTTCCGATTTGGCCTACATTTGTCCAAGCTCATGTTGAATTTTATTGTACATGCAAACTGTTGTAGTTATATTGCAATTAGAAGCTAAACTCCAAATTGTCACCTAATGTGAAATATGGGTGCGAAAACAGCTTTGTCTTATAATGTGTCATTTTCGTTTCTAGATATAAAAAAGTCAAAGTTGATGGAAAAAACACACCAAAATAAGACCCGACTGTCACTACTGTATTTTAAAACCGTAAGTAAATACTTATATTTACACTACAAAGACTGTTGTTTGTGGTATTAAGTGCTACACGGACCCACCCCCACCAGCTCTTTATGAAGGTCTGACTTAATAAGCAAACAACTTGGCAAGAGAAAAGTCTTACATCAAACATCAAAGCACAACATGTCCAAAATGTAATGTACAACCAAGATATATGATGTGAGAGAAAAACAATTGGTTTTAAAAAGGATGAATAATGTAGGGAGCTATTCTATACTGGAAATACATCAGAAACTGTTCTTTGGCAAGCACAGTATTACTTGGCCAAACTAATGTATAGGTCTTTTGTCATCCTTGCCACATTTTCTGGGGTTTAGAGAGCATTTAAGTGCCATTTGTACAACAGCGCAAAAAGAAAATAGTGCCAAAAATCCCACTGCTTTCCAGGTAATGAGTCTGGGCCAATGACTGAATAATGCAAATTTGGAGTGGGCTGGAGTGTGTAGTATGTAAGGGGGAAAAGAGGCAGAGCTCCAAGATTCAAAGCATTGAAACTGCTGCTGTGCTATTGACTCTTCTGTCAGGAAGATGTTTGATAGTCGGCCAAACCACTTCAAGAAGCTCTCCCTCCCCCAGTCTCTGTATACTACTGCTGCTACTGCTGTGGGAGGCTAAAGCTCTGTTGTATAATATGCAAAATATTACTGCAATGGTATTTACTTTCACTTTTCAATAAGATTATTATATATATGAGACCCAATTACATCAATTTTAACATAACATCAAAGTTGTGCTATATCAAATTTCTTGTTTCCTTGTCTTCATGGAGATTGATTTGTGCTGCCTGGAAAGTTCCAGTGTCAACTTATTTATATCCATGGAGACAAGCAGGTGGCAAAGCTACAAGTCAGATCTGTGGAGAGGCAGCCACACTCACAGTTTGTGCATGTTTTTCAAGAAATTCATGAGTTATAAAAAAGGTATGAATGACTGAATGCAACATACTAAAATCATTACTAAATGCAGCTTTAAACACTGAAAGGAGGTAATGTTATATTTAAAAAAATTCTAAAATATAACAATGCCACAAACCTTGGTTCTTCTCCATTAGTGGCAAAGTGGTGTCATCGTAGCCTGTCCTGCCGTTCTTTGTTGCTTTTGGGGTTGCAGTCACTGTAGGCTATCAGACAAAATAGACAGTTTAATACAAGATGTTGTTTTATTCCACAGGGCAACCCACAAATAATCATAATAATTTGACTTGGTTACCTGGAAGTGGCTTTTGTTCCACCCATCCTTGGTCAGTGCGTTTCTCAGCTCCTTATAACTCCAAACTGTCTGTAGAACATGGGATGCTGCTTTTGTTTCACGAGATGATTGGCTGAAATTTAGAGACAAATTAAAAAATGAAATGTCTGGAAACCTCATACAAAATGCATCAGTTGTCATTATACCTAGCTAAAGGGTCTGTTTTTTAATTCATAACTTGATGAGTGCACATCCTTCCTTTCATTCTCTACCTCTAAGCCACCAATTATTCATGGGATAGTGTAGTACTCAAAAACAGCAATTTTGAGAAGGATGTTACACTGCTATTTGTGTAAGTCTGCAGTTTCAGGTAGTGTTGGCTAAGGTTAAAGGTTAAGGTACACTTTATTGTCCCCATAGGGAAATTGCTGTATTTGACCCATCTTGGCGACCCATCTCCAGATCTTGAGCAAGGCTTGTTCAGGGCTACCAAGGATATTACCTATTGTGGATGTTTTGGGTTATTGTATTATATAAGCAATACTAAAACACTTAATTCATACCACATCTCAATTTGAAACAACATTTTACCATAGCACAAAACACCTCGTGCTACTTTTTCTTATCAGACTAGAGAGAAAGAAAACATCAAAAGCATAAGCAGCCCAGTTCACAATGCCCTCTGGTTGTAAAGGTCTTGTTAATTAATGGATAGCTCTGAGTGTGTGGGCTCAGGCTTGTAAGCATATAGTATTATAGAAGCCATTAGAGACACATTACATTATCCTCCATGAATACTGATAATGCCAGTCAAGGTCACACACTAATTATGACTGATATCATGTCTCTGAGGTATGCCTATTCTACTGCTACCGTTAACATATTTATGGCTTGTATGATTCACTGTATGAAATTACTGCTTGAGAGTAAAAATTAATCAGATGATATGACTACAAGTTATCTAGATTAGGCACAACATTATGAAATTATCCACTAGTTCTGATGCAGCCTCTAGACAACAACAGTAAATCCACTAATTTGCAGAAATCCACCTTTTCCACATATAATTGACTCTTGTGAGTTTTAAGCCATGTTATAATGTTGTTACCTCATCAAAACATAACTGGAGTTTTGTTTCATTCACACATGTTTGACTAACCCTTTATTATTAGTCTGTCTACATCTCCAAAGCTCAAAATGCTCTGTTCCACCTTGTGATGTCATGAAGTCGTAATTTTCAAGTTACCTTTTACCTTTAGTTCAGCAGACTAACTGGCAATTCCAAGACTTAAATCCAACTGATTTTAGTGAAAGTGTATGGAGTTTTAAAACACATTGAAGCACTTCCTGGATTACCACTTGACATCACAAAGTGGAACAGAGTGTTTTCTGTTTGAGAGAAGAACACAGCCTAAATATGCAAGGTTTGTGTGTTAAACATGTGTGAAAGAAACAAAACAGAACTTCAGGTATGTTTCTGATGTGGAAACAACATTGTAGCATAGCTCAGAGCATGGCGTAACATGGGCCCTGTAATGTCTAATAGTATAACAATGGAAATAGAGGTTGGAGAAAATGTCAATAACTCCAAATCACCTTGTCCTGTTGATAGCCACTAACTTCTCGATGGCTTGTGCTTGAATGAGAGAGCGGGCATTTTCAGAGCTGTCCGTCACTATCTCGTGGATGGTGTTGAGTATGGCCACGACAGTGTCCTCTTCCAGGTTTTTGGCTGGCCTCTGCTGACCACTGGGCAGATTACTCACTAAGTCCCGCATGGCGTAGCTCCCTGTAATGTAATAATGCATTTTAGGTAAAAAAATAAAATAAAATAAATCACAAGAAAGCTCTATGGTCAGTTTGTGATATTATGTTGCATAATGATGCAACATAATATTGGCCCAAAAAAACAAAAACCATACCTGCCTGGAGCCGCAAAAAAATGAAAAGCCTTATATAAGCCTAATATGAAGGTAACATAGGCTCAGGTCAGTATATTAGCTATATAAGCCTACTATTAAAATGACTAAGTAGGCTACAAATACAAAATGAGCATTCATGATTACACAAACCCCTTTTGCGACCCTCTCATACTTGGTGCGCCGTCTGTAGCCACTGAAATCAGGTGGTTAGTGTTTATTCCTTTGTCATTTAGGCCCCATTTACACGTACATGGGTATTTTTAAAAATGGAGACATTTCCCTTCGTTTGTTCACATCGTTTACACGCAAACGGGAATTCGCCTCTGAAAACAAATCTTTCTAAAAACTCCGGTTTCACATTTGCGTGTAAACTGAGATAAACGGAGTTTTAGGAGCTGACGCGCTGAAAGTGCGACCGACGTTTACCTGTTGCTTTTGACGACGACGATGATGGAAGTATTCAGAGCAGCAGTCGCATTTCTTCTGATCGTGCATAGGAGCACTCATAAAACAGCAGCATGTAGAACTTTGTACGCAACATCAGCCCGGAGCAGAAGCTCTGAGCTCGGGCAGCAGCGCAAAACACACGGGAGCAGTCAGCGCGCAGCCCCTCTGCACGGGGCTGTGGGTCCAGTGTTGGTCAGATTGTCCGGAGGCTTTGTCCTCCATGTCCTGGTTCCAGACGGGGGCGAGCAAGACCGGCGCGCAAAGGACTGGGTCCGAGCGGTTCCGTGTCTTCCTCTGTGCGCTGGTTCTGTGCGGGAAAAGCGAGAATGCGCTGTGGACCACAGGTCCAGGCGGGCTGCTCCAGTCCTCCGCGCTCAACCGCAGCTGGTTCCGAGGGGGTGCAAAGCATCCGGACAGAAGCTTGAATCCAGCTTGATTCGTTATATGTTGTTCTGAGAGGTCAGTCTGCGCACGTGTTTTTTTTTTTTTTTCGGGGAAAGCGCTTCTCAGGTGGAGGCACCGGACACCACCCCCGCTTCAGCTCATCTGTTTGTTCTGCTGAAACACTTTTAATGTCTTTGCATTTGCACACACAGCTGATGGATCAGATCCATGACCAGAGATGAACGAGGGTTTTACCCCTAAAGAAACCATATTAAAACAACAACAAAAAAAATCATTCCTTTTCCATTTTCACTAATTTTTGAAAAAGGTCCAGGGAGCCACTAGGGGAGTGCTAAAGAGCCGCATGCGGCTCCGGAGCCGCGGGTTGCCGACCCCTGGTCTATGTCATTGCTCTGCCTGGAATGTTCCACAGTATGACAATTAAACACCTCTACCTTATATTTATTAAACTGCAGGTAGTTTTAATACTCAAATATACCTAAAAAAACAGGCATTCTGACTGTGAGTGGGGTTGGCTCTCCACAGATTTGACCTATAACTTGATCTGGTTTGGTCTCCATGAAAAATGAAAAGATTTACTGCCATACTGTGAAACATTCCAGATAAAAAAATAACATCTCCATGGGGAAAAGGATTTGATGGACCCTCCACCAGAAAAGTTATACAATGCACCTTTAAATATCTCTTTATTTGAATAGAGTATTTTTTTTTTTTACCGTTTACGGCTGTGATGATACATTATGGATAAAGGTTCTAATATGTTTTCATTTTTTAAATGAATATGAAGCCACTACTTTAGCTCTGGCTTTACCTATCAGATCCTTGTTACGGCGGTCAATAGAGAGATTCCGTAGAGCGATGGCCACAGCTCGGACCACTTTGTCTGAGTCGGAGCGCAGTAGTTCCACCAGGATGGGCAGCCCCTTCTCCTTACGCACTGTGGCACGGATGTAGTTGGACCACTGTAAAATACAAGGGCATAGATGACATGTGAATGCCTTTTAAAAACAGTAGTTTTGTATCTCAGGAGGTCAGTTAAACACAAATGTATGTCGTTAGAGACATCCTGTTTGACATTCTCACAGATGTACTGTTTCCTATCATGAGAGCTGCCCACACTGACCTCATCCATTTGCTTAGAACCACTGGGAACGCTCCACAGAGAAGTTCAGGTCAAGAGCTTGACATTAGCGGAGGTGAGGGAGGTTATTTTTAGTAATGGCACACACCCCTCATTCAGTCTGAAGAGAGACGCACTTCACAGTATTACACAGAGGGGTTGTACAAGAACATGATATAATAATTTGTCTTAATTTAAATTCACCGCATTTTACTTCTCATTTTTATGTAACATGAAACATTAAGTGTGACATAAAAGAGCTCCTCTTCTGAGTAACTGCTCCCCCAGAGATGTAATTAGATACCAATATGCACAACTGCACCACAAGGTGGCAGTGGTAAGCCTTGGATGTGTTACTTGTTGTAACTATGAGCAGCGGGAGGAATGAGAGTTTAGGGGGAAGCTCAAATGTCCTCAGAGGGACCAGGGTCTGCTTTTGTCCTACTCCAGATGAAACTGACTGATACATCTGCCTAACCTGGTACACAGCACGTATTCTGACCACCTCCACCCCAAAAATACACCTGCCAGAGAAGGCATCCTTTCAAAACAGCTCCTTAGCTGAAAATCACTACTACTGAATTATTCAGACTCTAAATGTGAGACTCAAGAGCTGCTGGACCACTTTTAGTAGTTGCAGGCTGCAGTGAGCGAGCCGAGTGAAGCCAGAACCCAAAACAGTGATGAATGTGTTTACAGTGTGACACATGGGTGTGAGAAGACGTGTGGTGGTGATAATGCTGCCGCCGCCTGAATACAGCCAGCTCACTGAGAAACAGAAGTGACCGCTCACTCGTGCCTGAGGTGCAAAGTGAGAACTGGAATCTGACAGCTCGGCCGCCCTGTTGATCATTCACTGCTGTCTCACTGTGAGACAGCAGCACAGCCTTCTCTAATTGGAATAAATCTGGGCTGTAGCTCCCATACCATCGCTCAGCAACACACATCCACAGCCTGAGCTAACCCTGAGCTAATCCTGTAACTGCGCCAAAACTACAGAGTTCAGGGGGACTGACCAAGGCTTGAGGATTAACCAATAAATCAACTAAACTTCATTTCCTTCGCCATTAGTAAAAGTGCTTGATCCAATTTTACTACTCAATATTTAAATGTAATCACATAAAGGGTGCATAATTGAAATGTACATCCCATTTAAGTTTGCATATTAATTAAAAGCTGGTGACAGAAAAAACATTATTATTGATGTATTTTCTAACAATAAAAATGTACTGAATGCTCCAGTTAATAACAACATTATGTGACCTTCAAATGGTTCACTTCTAATGCAAGAATGTTACATAGATGAAGAAGATGAGTTCCTGTGTGAACCAAGGTCACACAATAAACAGAATAGCAAGATTCTGCTTTAACCAATCAGCTCACTTCTTTTCACAGCATAAAACTTTTGTGACATCTTAGACTTGGACAGTACAGGAAATTTGTGTATGTACTGTCCTTTTTGATCAAAGGGTGATTAAACTTTTAAACACCGGATGGCTGGTTATTTTTGACTTATTTTACTGAATAGTATATGCTTCACAATTTATCTCAAATGTGTGTAACTATGTTTATTTAGATTAGCTGGTTACTCAAAAGGAGAAATGATCATAAAATCAGCCACCAGTTGCTGCCACCACATGCATTATATTATTATACTATACAAAGTACTTAGTATATTACTTACAATATATAATCCAAGTACCAAACTAGAGATGTAGAAAATAATCAATATCCAGGTACTAATTGATATAAAACTAATATCAAAACTAGATACAGATGTGCAAGTATCACTAACTAAAAACAAAACAAACAAAACGCATGAATACGACAAAGTTGAAACTTTCCTGAATAGTTTAAGAATGGTCTTAGTGCAGTAAATAAACTATAAATATTTTGAGAATTTTTATTATAATTGTACCAAAATTGACACTGAGTATTTTAGTATCTTGACAACACTATATGAAACTGAGCACGCATAAATCCTAATATCACCATGTTGCTTAAAGTCCATATGACAGATTTTTATGATTCAGTAATTATTATTTAATTTGGTGGGATTATAACTATTGCAAATATAAATGATAATTTTACACCAATCAAGAAGCAATCCTCAAAGAAAAGTTGAAAAATATGTTGAAAATTACACTAAGTAGAGAGTTTTAAACATCACACTGGAAAAAATTCTATCCAGAAGTTCAACAGTTTACACAAGAAACACATTTTTTCTGATACTTCAATAAAATACATGTGTTTTCTTATATTTGTATTTGTCAGATAATTTCTGTGTACATAAGAGGAGTTTGCTAGGTTAACAGTTACAGAATTCCCTAGTCTGATGTCACGATTTGCAACCAGGAAGTAACATTTTAAACCTAAAAAATGGCCAAAGTGGAAAAACAAATGTGCATGTTTTTGCTAAATTCTTCAATATAAAGATTTTAACCATATTGTAGTAAAATTAGTCTAATCTGACATAGGCACTTTAAAAAGAATGCATGTGCCATCCCTCCCCCCATACTCACGGTCCACTGCCCCGCGCTGAGGTTTTGCAGAGCTCCCGCGGCGGCCTCCAGGGTGTTGTAGTTCTGGCTCTCGGTCAGCAGGGACAGGTACAGGCGCACCACTTCGGGCTGATAGAGCAGCTCAAAGCCTGCAGGGAGAAGCATAAACACTGGTCAGGTACAGGCACAGACACACAGCCAATTAGACTGCAGACAAACCAGGAGCACCCAAAGGAGTTCATCTCACACCATAGTAACTGATTTGGTACAAAGGAGAAAGACAGAAGATTAGGTTCAGTACACTACAGAAAAATTTTGAAAATATTGTGTAAAATGTATATACCAAATTACGGAATATGGAATTTCACAGAAAACCTCACAAAACCCAATTTTGGAACATGATATAAACAACATAGCCATTCAAAGCATTCTGCATTTAATCAAGCTACTTTGTTCAAACTTTGTGAAAGACAGTGAATTCTGTTTTTAGTGTATAAAGTGATTGCATTTTTAGTCTAACATAGTAGCTACGAATCAAAGTATTTTAAAGATTTGTAGCAGTCCAGCTTGGCTTCTGTTGCAAGGAGCAGTATACCTCTGATGACAAAGGCCAATATAACAAGAACAGAGCTGGCAGTGAGTGCCTTCAGCAGAGCTGGAACTTGCAAGTCGTGACTTGGACTCGAGTCAGACTTGAGTCACTATTTTTTTTTAACTTGAGATAAAATAGACAGAGACCTGGGACTCCACTTGGACTTGAAGGTCAGTGACTTGGGACTTGACTCGGAATTGAGGCCTGTGACTTGAGAAGACTTGATGCTTAGACTAGTTGGCAAATTAACAGTTATTAAGCACTTTTAAATCTTCACTCTTTCTATTCTGACAGTAATGATTTTCATTCTTGTCAAGACATTTAAAAAGGAAAAACTAACATTTCTACAACTCTTAATATATATAACATAATAATATTAATACTCATATACCATGGACTTGCCTGTCTATGACTTGGGACTTGACTCAGACTTGAGGTCAAAGACTTGAGACTTACTTGAGACTTGCAAAACAATGACTTGGTCCCACCTCTGGCCTTCAGTATACCACTATTTCTCTAACAGTAGTTACCAAATTCAGAAATGAGTCAATTTCATTAAGAGTAAAAGAGACAAGCACCTTCCAACAGAAAAATAATACCTTCAAGAAGTTATAAGGGTAGAAGAAGTGTGATTTATATCAGTATCTTCTCAGTGACATTCAAACAGCTGCACCCATATGTGATAGAGAACACTTGAGCCTTTAGAGAATAAGGAGGACAGGGGAAGGAGAAAGCATTGATCAAAGCATCCATCCAAAACTCAGCATGTTTCTGAACCAGGCTTATCTCCCCACAACACACAAAACAACCCCACGGTCTCCAGTCAATCATTAGGCCTCCCTCTGATGAAAATGCAATTACATTATCAGCCATTAGACTGAGCAGGCACAGAGAGCGGGAGAGGCAAAGACATCCAAACACATTAACAATTATTCTTCAAGGCCTTTTTGAATTTTGCACAAAACAATGTAAAAATAAACATGGGATCCACAAGGCAAGAAGAAAGAAGTTCAAAGCTCGCTCTTCTCAAGGTCATATAATCATACATTTTTGATGCCACACACGGCACTTGGAGAAGGAATGCTGTCATCCTTCAACTGTTGAGGCCAGCGCAGTTCTGAAGGCTGTTTATCTGAATGGGGGTTTGTTGTGGTTGAGTGGTTGACATTTTTTCCAATTTATAGCCTCAAGTTACCTAAATGTTAGTTGTCTGTGGATTTTAGAGTGCCTTTCTCTAAAATGTTTTCAAATCAAGTTAATTTGAAAAATGTCTTTTAATGGCTCCATATGATAGGTTACCATTTGTTTTTCTCTTGCAGTTTCTGGACAAGAATAATGCTTAATTGTAAGTTACAAGGTTTCTCTATTGAAAAGAACATATTTGTGTGAATTCAAGGAAAGAAAGACAGACATCAACTATGCAATATTTATTTAAAATGTTTAAGAGTTGACACTAGCCACGAGAAAAACCTTTGACTCCAATCAAAAGTTACCCCATACCAATACAACTGTGGTCCAAACCAAAATGCCTCTTTATATACTAAAATACTGTATAAAAATATGCTGTTGAGACTGCATATAATCTATATAATGCCATTTGGGTTAAATATTTTTTGTACAACATTCTAATTTAAATGTATTTAGAAGCATAGTAAATTTTGATAAACTTATATTTTCAGCTGTATAAATTAAGCATCCAGCTCTAAAAACTGTAAAATCCAATTGATAGTCTGTTCCTCAATTTTGCTACTTCAGTGACTTAGCTCACATGTAGCAGTTGGCTAATGGTGCATAACAGCAAAGTCAATGCGATTACACGCTGGGGTACAGATTTCTACATTTCGGTGGCTTTGAAACCACAGACTGAAACCAATTTTTACAAAAAATATCATTTCGAAGACAGCTTGTTTCCTATCCTCTGCACAAGTAATTTCAAATCCTTCATGTCCTCTTGTAGGCTGAAATTAAAGAAAATAACCCACTGTCTTCTCAAGTCTTGTGAGGGCACAGTTTCTCAGAGTTCTTTTGAAAAACTATGTATTATGTGGGTAGGGATCCCGACGTGACTGATACACAAAAGCTGACAAAGCCCAGAGTACTGCTATTTCAAAACTTCACAGTTTGAAAGCAAATCTAGCCCCATATCTGTAACGACACATGTTTTTCATCTATATCTCACCCATAATTTCAGAGCAAGCGGAAGTCTGGCTGCTAACAATCAAAAAGTCATAGCCTTCCCCGCTAGCACAGAAATACAAACGTTTAATTGGACATCACTGCAGGTACTTAAAAAGAAACCTAGAACTTATTTTCAAAGGAGAAAGTCAAGCCGCAAAAGAGACCCAGGCTGTAACTATGAGCCAAAACATGCGTTGTACATCAATACAGTGTCTGAGGGGCGCGTGAGAGGGCAGGCCCCACAATCCAGACAGTCAGCAACATTTAACATACTCCTCATATTTCGAGTCCCGCTGTCTGCGCACTCAGCAAACCCGCGGCCATCTTGAAGGCATTCCTGTTGACACACACTTCATCTCCAAGGCAGATTCTCCTCCCCGCACTAAAGCACAAAAGCCTGGTCCTGTGCCGGTGCCAAGTTCCTCAGAAAACCCAAACAGTGGTTTTATGAGTGTCTAGCAAGAAAAATGAAAAGACTTCAAAAGTGTATTTTTTGTTAATGTTTTTGTTTCATTTTGGTTAAAGGCATGAGAAGCAGGATTATGAAGTCTAACAGCAAATACAGAGGACAGACTGTAGAAGTACTTCAAAATACAAAATACTTATATGTATAAAGGGATATATACTTTAAAGTACTTTTATATGTGTCATTATTTTCAACATCTTGGAAGTTATATAATTGTCAACTGCATAACCACGATGATTACAACTGCAGTATAATTGGTCAACAACTATTATTACTTACTACTCATTCATATACAAATGCAGTAAAAAAAATACTTAAAAATCCCATGCTATTTGGGAAAAATAAAATATTCAAGTACATTAAAAAGTAAAAGGAGCCATTACTACAGTACTGCTCTCATATTCATGGCACTGAAATTAAGACGAAATATTTCACTTTAATATTCAGAAGCAGACATTCAAAACCTTTAATTTTTAGATTAGAATTTGATCAGGCACGTTATTGAACAACTTTTTACTTTCTGAGACAAAAGACTGCATGAAACTAAACCAGTTTAATTCTTTCATTGTAGAGTTTTCTTTTATCCAGCCAAACTTTTCCCATCTAATTCTCACGAACATGGCCTGTCCTGGGTCTGTCTACAGCCCTTCTCAGGTCAGGACTGTTTCCAAGTGTTATTTTGTTGTTGTCATCAGTCATCTGCTCCTTGTCTTTTGGGGGCAGTCGTTGTCAGGTTGTTAGGGAGCATTAAAATTCAGAAGGGGAGAAGCCATGTCAGTGTGGAGTGACCTCGGCTTTGCTCAGAGCCACCTGCAACCTCTGACACACTGCAACCATCACACTTGAATAGGAAACAGAGGTGAGCACATTTTATTATACATTTTACTGCTGCCTAGTATAAAATATAAAAGAATCTGTCACTTACAGTGGCCGGCAAGTGCAAAACACTTTTACATTTCACAACACAAACCATAGTTACTAAACAACATGGAATTTAAGGAGCTTTTTTTCCATTTGTGGTAAAATTTTTGATGGAAAAACTATTAATAGGACATATACTGACACATAGGTGAAAGAAATATAAAAAAGCTGTGGCTAGTTTTAATTACTGCGCTACTTACTACTAAGACGTAAAAGGATTAGTAAAAATTTGTAAAAATCAGGATTTGCTCTTCAATAACTAACATACAGTATAATCACAGAACTAAGAAATAAATGACTACATGGATGAGATTGGTCAAGTTTTGTAATTGTAATGGAACATCGAGCAACATTTAAGCAAGGTATCTTACTAAGTAAATACAGAAACATGTCTGCATTCTTATTAAAATTTCATGACTAGATGATGCCTATTTCAATATTATGAAGGGGAGTATATACAGCTTGTCAAATTTGTTTAGTTACAACTTCCTATCAAACAGCATTTTGTCAGCCTCAAACAGTCTTCTCTGTGCTCTTCTCTTAGAGGCGTTCCCCAGGGTTCAGCCCTCATCCCCCTGCCCTTCCTCCTGTATGTCCTCTGGTCTCAGTCACATCATTCACAGACATGCCTCTCAGTTCCACTGCTGCACCAGTGACATTGAGCTTCACCTTCGACCAAAGACTCCAGCCCTGCCACTCACTCCAGCATCAAAGGCTTCTGTGCACAAGCTGCCTTCACAACACATAAAACTCATTCTTATTCTCAGTGTACACAGTAGCACCAAGATTCTTTGAGCATCATTGAGTACACAAGAATGCATTTTATTACTTTTGGGCAAGATCAAAACATGACACTAAGATGAAGACAGTGTAAAGAATCTAATTACATGTAATGTAAAATTACACAAATTGCATACTGTACGAAAAACTGTGTGTAATGCAATCAGGAACATGGCATAAGGGATAGGAGATGGGTAAGAGATGATTGCTTA